AAAAAAAAATAACTTAAAAAAATTTAAGCTATGTGGGCAAAAAAAAAAAATAAAAAAAAAAAAAAAAAAAAAAAAAACACACACAAAAAAAAAACAAGCACAAAAAACAAGTTGTCCAGTCAGATGAGGTCAAATTGAAACTCCTTGGCCTACATGTAAAAGCGCTTCCTCCAGAGGATTAAAATAAAAACACTAAACACACCATCTTCACAGTGAAACATGCTGGTGGTCAGGTTGGATGGATGGAACAAAATACAGAGCACTCCCAGAAAAAAATAAACCTGTTAGTCACTCCAGATTACTTGATACTGAGGCAGAGGTTCACCTTCCTGCAGGACAAGACAACAGCTTTTAGTGTACAGCCAGAGCTACGATGGATTGTTTCAGGGCGGAAGCGATTAATGGGATTCATTGTTGTTAAAATAATCATCAACTAACTTAGTGATCAATTAACCGCTGGCTGGAGTACGCAGACTCTAAAAAGAAGAATATACTCAGAGCAGTAGGCAAACCAAAAATGTACAAAAGATTTGCATACTTAGCATTTAAGATGAAAAACAAAACGTCTAATCCGATTGAAGGGTAATCATTATGTAAAATAGTCCTTTCTTGACCTTTTACATCGTGTTATTTTGTCATTCCCTTGTCAAAAACATACCTGGAGCCTTGATTCTGTCATGCATTTTCGAGAAATCCTTTAATTTCCCATGGCAACCAGTCAGTTGTGCAAAAAGCCTGGTTGGACGTGGCTCCGCCTTCGAGGCGCAGCTCCTCCCCAGAGCTGCATTTTCCAAGCTTCTGCCTCACGGAGCAGCCCTCCCCTCCGACTTCCCCACTTAGCTCCTTCAGACTAGCCAGCAGCAATTGGCAAACATCTGGTGAAACTACGCATCTGCAGAGCTCATTATGCAAGCTACTAAAAACGCTGTTAAAGGGTTAATATAGGAGGCAATGTTGTGATAACTTCCTGAAGGCGGAGTTTCAGAAAGAGCTCAAGTTTTTTTTAAAAAAAGGCAGAGGCCCAATTTCAATGTGTTAAATTAGGCAGTAAAATATCTTTTAAGTTTGATATAGCATTTTTATAACAACTGAAGTTAACGCAATTACTTAAATGTCACTATGTGTCTGGAAAATACGTAATGTATCCCCTTTAAGTTTGAGCGGTGTTGCGTACAAGAACAGACTGACAGGTCAGTTTTTAAATGTGAACAGCTGGTACGAAGATATTCTGTTAGGCTGTCATATTTTTATATTTTATTTGTATAACATTTTTATAAGCATTAGATTAATCTGGTCCTTTTACTGAACTAATTTGTGTGGGTTTATCACATAACATAAGTTTGAGGGGTGTGATTTCTTTTTAAAGCCCTGTAATATTGCTTCAGTGAGCCACGAGGCAACTTCAAAGAGGCGCTTTGCCTCTTTTGCAGTCCGATTATCTAGCTCCTCTATAATAAAGGGATGGGAGATATTTACATGCATCTGCCCGGGTGCCGCGCTCTCATAATCCATCCATAATTTCCATGCTTCTGTCAGTGTCTTAATCAGTCATGCGCTTCCCCGCCGAGAGTCGTGTTTCATCCGTCCTTGTCTCTTATTACCCAGCTCAGTTGTAGGGCACAGTTGCCTGTCATGCGTATGCTGCTTACAGTACGCCCTAAAGGTGCCATCAGGAATCAGTGTTGCACTCTAGGCTGCAGCTTTAAGAGGAATTTAAAAAAAAACCTGTAGAAGTCCCAACTTTTGCAACCTTTTTCTTTCGCCATATTTTTTGTTTTGTGCGTACTTCTGGCATTATAATGAATAATTACTCAAATTTGCTGCCCTTCTTTCGTTTTCCCCCATAGCGCACTGCTTGCTGTGTGATCTCCTTGAGAGCCGAGCTGCCAGTCCCACTGAACGGCTGGAAGCCTCCTCCGGCGGCGGCGCGACGATGACAGAGCTGGTTGCCAAGTGGGCCTGTGAATACTGCACATACGAGAACTGGCCGTCAGCCATCAAGTGCACCATGTGCCGCGCTCAGAGGCCCAGCGGGGGTGCCATCATTACTGAGGAGCCCTTTAAGAGCAGCCCTGCCCTAGATGCCAGTCTGCATCAGTGGGACCCCGCAGACCTCAGCAACAGTCCGTCTCAGGGGGGCTCCAGCCTGCTGATTTGTCCGGATTCCAGCGCGAGACCCCGCGTCCGCGTCACCGACGTTCCTGAGACGAGTAGCAAGTGGTCGTGTCACATGTGCACCTACCTGAACTGGCCTCGAGCCATCCGCTGTACCCAGTGCTTGTGTCAGAGGCAACAGGCTCAACAACAACAACAACAACAACAGCAGCTGCAGCAGCAGCAGCAGCAACAGCAGCAGCAACAGCAGCATGGTCACCATGCAACTCGTCAAGGACATCACACCCAGCAGCCACGAAGCCCCACGGAGTCGCCGCAGACCTCGGGCTCCGGATGCCGCCCCGCTGCCCCTGTCACCGCCACAGACCCCTGCGAGGAATACAACGACCGCAACAGGCTCAACACCCACACGCAGCACTGGACCTGCACTGCATGCACTTACGAAAACTGGGCCAAGGCACTCAAGTGCGTCGTGTGCGACCATCCCCGGCCCAACAGCCTGCTTGCCGAACCCATCGAGCTGGCGTCGGAGCCCGAGAGCCAGCAGCCGTCCTCCAAGCTCAACGAGCAGGACAGGGACAACAGGAGGGGCGTCGTCGGGCAGGGAACTGGGTGTGTGGTGGGGGGAGTGGTGGGCTGCAGCAGCAGCCAGAGGAGGTCTCCGCCGTCCGAAAAACGGGAGTCTGAGGTGAACATGGACTTCCAGAGAATCGAACTGGCGTCGGGAGCGGGGATTGGGAGCAAAGAGGAGCTGGAAGTGGATTTCAAAAAACTGAAGCAAATTAAGAACAGGATGAGAAGGACGGATTGGCTCTTCCTGAACGCATGTGTTGGTAAGTTTCAAGTTTAAGTGATGTTCAGTTTAAAAAAGAAAAAGGCTTCAGATTGTAAAAGGGTTACAATTCTTATCGTATTTGCCTAATACAACTAAGCAGGATATTTTTACAAGTTGTAAGACGACCTGTTGGAACAGACTTTACAGAGTTACAAACAGATTAATTAGTTTTGTAACCTACTGATTCTGGAATTTTGTGCATACTTAAAATGCCTCGGCACTGAACGGAAAAATTTCCCCACACAGTTTGCCACCCATGATACTGATACACTGATAGACACATAGAAGAAGGGTAGATAAGCTTTTAAAAAGACCAGATACATATATTACTTTCTAATGAAACACATTCTTAGCCTGTTTCCTCTGTTTTCTAAGGATGTGTGGAGTTTAACCTTCAGTCTCGATCCCTGTCTGTTCGTAGGAATCCTCTAACGCCAACAAGACAAATCTTAAAACCACAAACAGTTTCAGTAATCAAATAAAGATGTTTTAAAGATTGTTTTTCCTTTCTGCATTCCTACATTACTGCAGCGTGTTTGCTTCTAGTCATAGTAATTGAGATGTTGTTATTCTTGTCTTTAATATGAGTGGGGTTTTTTATTGTGCGTAGTCTACCAAAATTTTCGCTTTATCTCATGGTAAATGTCAGTAGTTTTTTGCTCCCAGCTGCCATGTTGGGATTGGCAGATTAAAGGAATTAATGAAGCATTATCCAACTTTCATTGGTTGTCCCAAACATCATGCTTTGATAAATGCCTGCCATGGCAGTGCCGACTTGTTTCTGGATGGCTGACTAGACAGCTGACATGCCAGCACTAAAAATGGTATCACCAAATGAGCAACATGCACATCACATTTTAGAGAAATATGCATGAAACAGGATTTTTATCATTATTATTTTTCAGCAGATATTCAGCGCTTCATTCCAGAATGTTCCTTCTAAAAGTGACCTATTGTTGTTTCCTTAGAGAACTGAAATTAAGAGTTCTTGATAGTTAACTACGATCGGCTCTCGTCTAATGAGAAAAGTTTGTATTTAATAAGGTTTGACTTGAAAACGGCGACTCAAGTAGCTGGCCAAGACCTGTTGACAGAAACTGTTGTTAGACATACTGTGTTGTGTATGAAGGCATTGATAACCTGTAGGTGTTGAAGACCTGGAGCAGAACTGATAAACACCAACTTAGGTGGTTGAAAGTACATTTGAAAAGTGAGACATTTCATAAATGTCTCACTTCACCTGCTCTGCTACCAGGTGACGGTACACCTGAAATATTGTTTTTTTTTTTTTTTTCTGTGCATCAGTTTTTGTTTCACAGACAGAAATACATTTACTAAACTCTTAGATGTTTTTTTTTTCACTTCTTCTCAGTTTGAATCTTTATCAGAGACCAATGGAAGTATAGCCAATAATGTCAATAATGGGGTCAATAATGTCAGGCCATTGTCATTACTGCCAGCCATTTTTGCATCAGTTTGGTGTGGTCTGCTTTGAATAGTTTCTGTTGTGAGACGTGAAAGATTAAACCTCCTGATTGTTATTTTTGCTTGTATTTCACTAATTCCACAGCCTTCAGGTACCGAGCGTTATGTTTAAGCCTCGGAGACTCTGAGCCTTTAAACGTTCCTCATCTAGGAGTCGCATGCAGCTTACAGTCTCCTACTTAGTGTGAGGAAACAGAGGTATGGTAAAAGGAAGCTCCTATGAATACAGGCGACATGTTCAAACACTCAGCACACTGTCTGCTGCTCAGTAACCACAGCTTAGAGAAATACTGCTACTGACAAAGAAAGTCTTTACTAATGTCTGCTTGCATGCACAACTTGAAAACAATTAAAATGGTAATGTGTCAAGAACCGTATGAATAAGGGACATTCAAAACCAATCAGTGGAACAGCAGGATCATCTCTGCTGCTTTAATACCCTGTTGCTTTGCCTCATGGTCAGAACCACACCGGTGATCATCCTTCACAGCTCTGCGGAGACATAATGCTGATTATTAGCTGATTTAGTCAATCAGATTGTCCGGAAATCATATCCACATGGAGCTTCTGGTGGCTCATGTTTTCCAGCCATCGGGAAAATAGATTCAGATGGAGGGGGGGGATGGGGGG